TTTTTAGTTTGTCTGCATATTAGGATATTGATTACTGTAAAACAATACAATAGCGTAATCAAAACAAATGTGTTATGTATAATGGGATTAATGTACAAAATGAATGCATTAAGTATATAGATAGTTAAAAGATATGTCTTATAGTAATATCAATAGTTTAACCTATTTGAAGTATAATTTAAATTAATTAAAATCAAGTATATATTTGTTTCAGCTTAATAAGGTGTTATTCTACGATCACTGAGTAAATCAATGATTGTTTAATTTTTAGTAATTTATAAATTCATAAGTAAAGTAATAAGCAATTCACAAAATTCATCTTTGAAAAGTGAAATAAAAGAATATGTGTTAAGATACAATAAATAAAAAAAGACAAAAAATTTCTCAAAGTTTATCTTCAACACCTGTCAAATACGTTACGATATTCATCTGTACAAGTATTGTTATCATAATTTAGTAGCTTGTTTTATGGTTCAGTAAGACTCTTGATTAGGATATGTAAGAGGTATGAGGTTTGAAACCAAATACATGCATTGTTGTATTTTATTGATATGCAATTTTTTTCAAGTAATTACTTAAAATATGCTAAAAACATACAGTCATGTGTTCTGAAAATAGACAAAAATGAACTGATACTTAAATGCAAACCAGAACAAAAAAAACTATGTGTTTCAAACTATTGTCGCACAAAGTGACGAAAGCAAGTATTTTATTGCACAAAGTGACGAAAGCAAGTATTTTATTGTTTATTGTACAACTTGTTTATATATTGATGAAAGTGTTTCGAATCGAAGTTTTAGATGTCCCACATGCAGGCACTTGTTCTTGATTCTGTGGAAAGGGAATACAACGAGGGTTGTTCGATCTTTAATGTGTATTGGTGTATGGTAACATCATAGCGCAAAAAAAAGAAAAAGAAAAACAGAATCCAGAAGTAATAACAAGAATTCATTTACGTATGTATAAGTTATCTGCCATTTAATTGATCTCAAATAAGTAGAAAATTCTGATTCAGGGGCACATAACTCAAAACCGAGAACGGTGACCCCAAATTTCATGTCGCTTAAAATGTTTCTGTTATCATATTCTAACAACATGCCAAGTTTAAAGAAAGTATATGGAAGAAATTAATTTTGCTTATATGTCTATATAAAAACTCCCGAAAACGTCCTTAAGTTGAGAAATTGATGTATAGCGTGCATTGTAGTTTAGGACAATCCTTTTAAAATCATTTTAATGTAAAAGAGGTTATGATTATTTAGCGCCAAATTATATTTCTTTGATAACAGCACCGGAACATTTCAGGTCAGCTTATCAGCGATCGGTATCAGTTTAATGCTGAGAGTCTTCTGCGAAGTACGCCCTTTAATTTTTCTTCGACAAGCTGCTTATTTAAGACAACAGTGCGGCAGTATTTTTATGGAAACCGTTTCGATTTTCTGTCAACTTAAAAATATTTAAACTATGCAAATTGGAGTATACCTATCACAGATACTAGATGCGTACATCTTAACAGACTGAAAGTAGGAGATAGTTATATAATAGACATATTCAAAAAGCAGTCGTATTGATTTAATTATGAAGAAAAAAAACGTTCTATAGGGTGTTCCCATTCGAACCTGTTCTTTAGTCAATACAGTTGTTCAAAAGTCAATTTCGATGTCTGTTAAGATATTGAATAAATGAATACCATACAAATTAAAGTAAATTTTATATTTCTGCAAAACGATTTCAACATAAAAGTTCAAATTGGTATAATATATAGTATATATGTATTGAACTTGCACTGTAAGTTATTGATAGATATCTATTTCCTCAACAATAGAACGACCGTTGCGGTTATCAAATTAGTATGGTGGCTGATTTGGTACGCTTTTGTGAGTCTAGTTGGCGCTAGCGACAACACGACAAAGCGCCAAACGGCGCGTTGTCGCGCTGTCGTCTTGTCGCTTGGCTTATAAAAAGCGTGCCAAATCAGCCACAATAGATTAGAATGTTAAAAAAAACTTGACTTTATAGAATAGTATTCAGTATGACTGATTAAACATTGCCAAATGCAAAAACTAAGAATAGTTTCATGATCGAAATAAAACACTTGGTGATCTAATGCTGAAAAGTTGTATCTCTCAAGCATATACTTTGGGTCAGCTTGTGCGATGTTGCAACCATTTTACCCATTGCAACAATTAAATACGGCCGCAGACTAGCAAGTGAATCTTAATTAAACTGATATCTTTGTTTCAAAGCCGATATCAAATCGAGTAAAGAAATAATGAAGTAAACTTTGTCCGAAAATGAGTGAATGTATTTTAAGCAAAGAGACAAAAACATTAGTTGGACGGTTACTTTTGTTTGATTAAGGTCGCGTCTATTTCAAAGATAATTGACAATTTTCCAAATTGATTTAGGGCATTGTAGATTAACCTGCAATAAAAAGCATTGATAGACTGCAATTACATTATACAAATGGCAAAAGGCTAATTAGTAATAGATCTATCAGACTAAGGGTACAACATGTACTGCTTTAAAAAAACGATATTCCAATTGTCATTTTTAAAATGAATAAAAAATAAAGTGTTTAACCTTTTTTTGTCTTTATATAAACATTTCCTCCAGACACCTTAAATGTATATAGATAAAAGGGAAGTAAATTTAGTTCCTAATTAATTTCAAAAGTCTCTAAATGATATATATCAATGAAATCTATACCATAGAAATGTGACCTTAAACTTGAACTTGTTGTTCGAAAGCGGCAAATCGATCTTTGTAAATGGGCCAAAAATGCAACTTTTATCCTTATATTTGCTTGGATAATTTGTACAGTAGCTTTGAAAATTATATATGTTATTGCGTGCCAGCAACAACATGAATAAATAAATAAATTTCGAATAACTTAATGTAATCAAGGCAAGTTAAACTACCTTTTTGATCTTCTTTCTTCCTATTATCTATCTATTTCTATTTTCCGTGCACAAATATGATATGGCTGAAATGTGCCATTTTACACAGCATTTATATTGTTATAAGATGTAATCAAACAAAAGAAAAAGAACAAACAAAATCTCAAAATCTTGCTGACGTTACAATTTACAATATTGATCTGACATGTAGAGTAATTTGAGACGTGCTTTTCAATTGTACCAACATATCTTTTTTATGTATTCTATTGTCTGTTTACAAATTTAAAATGTCCTTCAGTCTGACGCATGCGTGATACGATGTCAATTACTTGTTCAGACCTAACTTCATACTTAATGTGGAATTGTGTGTTAAAAATATATAAAATTAGGAAGTTTTTGTCTAGGATATTTAGTGATGAGAAACAAATATTTAAACTATATGATAAAATTTTATATATTACTTAGCTATAAATAATGGCGAGCAGTATTAATCCCGGTATGTAGATATTCTCATTTGTTAAACTGGCTTGTATGAAAAAAAAAGCAAGATAAAACAAAACAAAGAAGTGGTAATACATTAACGGGGTAATAGATAATGAATTTTGGTGTCAGTTAAAGGAATTAGATTACGTTAATGCGTTTGTTTCGGCACATTTGCAATTTTTTGCAATAAGTACTGATTGTCAAATTGTTTGAAGCAATATACGGATTGATATGGCAGCGATACTAGCTACTAGTTACTAGCCTAATACCAACTGTTTTTAAGAAAGACTTATTTTTTTAATAATGTAATTTCATAGTTAAAAGTTTGTTTATACTCATATAAGAATTCCTTTAGACACGTTGTGAATAAGACTCAGAACTTAGTCTTTTGAAATCTCGAAATTAGTCAGCCTATCTTGTAATTATGCTAGAAAAAGATTTTTTTCTTCGATATATACCTGTATCTTTCAAAATGTATAACAATGATAGACTTTGTATACCGTCTTTGTTTCCTTTAGATTTCTTCAGAAATTTCGAAAGAGAAGACAAAAGAAAAGATATATTTTACTAGATGTTAAATTGCATTATTAATTTACTTCAATTTTAATAATTGTCATACGCAAATTTTTTAAATAGCCTGGTAAGATAAGATAAGGATTATTCAGAAAAAAGTCAGATACAGGTACGCGTATTTTTCACAGTTGTTAAGATATTTTATATTACTTTTTGGATATTCAATAAAAATTAATTTTCTTATAAGCAGGCGTTTAAAAATTGATAAAAAATCACAAATTGTTTCAGAGTTGCGAATATTGCTGGTTGGACGAACTGGTCACGGGAAAAGTTCAACATGCAACACTTTGATTGGTGCTGACGATGCGAATGTGTCGTCTACTTCGACATCTACGACATCAAAATGTTGGCTGTACAAAGTAAGTAAGAAAGATTTACAAATCACAACTATTTTACGTCAGTTTATCGACCAAATATTCCATTGATAATTTTTGTTTCCGATTTAATGTTTGCGTGTATATACCAGATTTATGCAAGATATGGGCACACTTGTTGAACTAGATTATGCACACACTAGCAAATAAGTTACCAATTATAACTTATTTAAGAGTGTACCGTTTGTAAAATGAACAATACCGATTGTAAAATAGACATATCGGCTGTAAATGGACGGAAGCATTTAATTCATTTTGTTACTTTTTACTTCGAATGCTGGCTCTTATAAACTTAAAAATAAACTATGTTTTTTGCAATCAAACAATGTTAGAAGAAAGTCATCATGCGTCGAGTTCTTTGAATGCATTACAACTGAAAAGCGTTAGTATCGTAAAGCTTTTACGGGTTTAAATATCAGCTTAAATTCAAATTCCTATAAAGTTTTGATGTAAAATATTGTCCCTCAAAGGATCGTCAGATTGTTTCATACTAGCAATTGATAGGAATGCATTCCGAATTTAAAATCTTATATTTTCTATTACATTTTGCTATCTATTTAAATAAATAATTTTTCATTAACATAAGTTCGAAGGGGAGGAACTGTTACACAAAGGTTGGAGTTTTTATGATAACTTGTCAGGAGTTCGTGTGATAACTGACACGGAGTTCCCGGAGAACGTTGAGATCGTTACGATACGAAAGAAAATCATTATGAAATGTATTACGCCCATTCTTTGAACAAAAATTTGGCTAAATTATGTTAATTTTAAGAATATCTTAGTTCAAGGGATATTCTTTTATTGGAATACGCATGAATACACTGAATGTCGTTCCTGTGTATAGGCTTACGTTTCCCTTCAATTTAAACTCTAAATTTGCAGCAATTAGTTTTTTCTTGTGAAGATATGAATATATAGTTATGCTCCGTATAACAGACATGCATACTTATATTGGCTCTAATCAACTACCGATCTATCGAAAAAAATTGCACGCGTCCTCCGGGTCCGAGCAAACGAAGTAAGTACATCCATTAGGATAAGTATTTTAAAGCAAATCATGCCAACTTAATTTAAAGTAAACTAACTCTAAAGATATGGTATCCAATCTTGAGTTTAACCTTATTTTGATTATCAAAAATGTATGCAATAACCTTCCATACTCGGGTGAATCCTGTAAGTCACGTATTGCGTAAGCGTATTTAATAAAGAAAGGAGCATGGTCAATCACCGGCATGAATCTTAAGGGGACTTCTATCTATAATTTAAGACTTTCTGTGTATTGTCATATCGTTTCATGGAATTTTCTACGTTTTTATGGCAACAATGTATACATTTTAGAAATTTTAATATCTGTTGATACACGAAGATAACTCCACCTCATTCAAGTTAGATACAGGTAGTGCATACTGCTTCAATTTGCTTCAAACCAATTTACCCGTCTACTGCAGACCGATGGCATAGTTCCTATTGACTTAATCTTCTCTTAAATGTCAAGAATAATCTATACATGAAGACAACATGCTTGAATATTTAATTCGGAGTGTATTTATCTTTTCAGTTAAGGATCTACGAAATCTGCAAAAGCAAAAATGTTTTTAATAGAAACATTAAGGTAGAAAAACAACACAAGAAATTGAGGTGTGATACAATATCTATTGAACAAAAGTACACTCAAAACCAACATTATATAACCAATTTTCGTGCGTGCAAAGGACGAGCGTATTACATTTGACAATGACTTACACAGCTATTGAATAATAAAAATCATATGGCTTAAACAACAAAGTTTAATTTAGCACCTTATACTCTCTTTTTATAGATGAAAATTACCATATTTGACGAGTGTTCCTTCGGTATTTACAAAAGTTTCCTACAAAATCCCTAACATTGTCCGGGAATTACACGAACTCCTGACAAGTTATCATAAGAACTCAATCCTTCATGTAACGGTTCTTCACCTATGAGATTGTTTAAGTTGCTCAATGCCGATGTCAGCTAATATTGAGTTTTTACTGCATTGTTATAACAATTACAAATATCATTTGTTTGATTTGAGTTTACATCATACCGATAAATTCTATGTCATATGGCCACGTTCCAGCTTAACTTGTGGAGGAAGACTTCATGTGACTTACCGTAAATTTTGTCAGGCACGAACAGGCACCTGCGTAGAACTACCGACGTTCCGTAGGCTATCTGGATAGCTTCTCCAAATGAAAAGATACAAAGTCCCTTTCGGGATTCGAACCCACAGCGAAAAATTAAGGCAAGTGATTTTAAGTCAACGACCTAAATCATTTGGCCACGAACGCTCTACAAATAACATAGTTAAGAAATATTGTATGATTTGAACAATTTTTAGGCTGCCAATCGCTTGAACAGAAATTTGCAAGTAGTGGATACACCTGGAATATTTGATACAGCAAATGATAACGAAGCAATTCACAAGGAGCTAATCAGATCCCTGCTTTTAACTACACCTGGGTTCCATGCAATTGCGTTTGTGTTGAAGAGAGACAAATTCACAGAAGAGATTCAGGAAACGAAAGATATATTTTTCAATTGGTTTGGTGAAAATGTCAAAAACCATTCATTTGTGATTCTAACGGATACTAGCACAAGGGAAGAAATGAACGAATTTTTACAAGTGCGACCACACAAAAAGTTAACGGAGTTAGTTAATGATTGTAATGGGCGTGTTGTTCCCCTCCAAAACAAATGTAAAAATGGCCGTTCAACTTGCAACCAAGTAATAGGTATTTTTGATATGGTGGAACGGATAATAGCCGAAAATGAAAATAAGAGCTTTTCTAATGTTGCATACACAATTACTATATGGTATGCAGAGAAACAGTTATCACTCTCCAAAAGCATGCTACTATTTGTTTCTAAGAAGGTTTCGGATATGACTTTAGCAAAGATTCAGAAAGAAACAGTAAGCCATATTCGAGAAGAACATCTTGAAACAAGTTCGGTGTCCAATGTCGTTGCAGAGACAGAAAGTAACATGGTTAGAACGAATAGCAGCAGTAAAGGAAATTTGAAAATAATTGATGCACTCACAGACAAACCATATGAAAATCCTGCAGACGCATTACTAAAGTCAACTTCTGAGGCAATATCTGAAACACAGAATCCTGTCAAGGATGTCAGTTATACAAATTATTCCGACTCTGATGACAAATTAACAGATTTAAAAACGAAAGTAAACAGTGACGAAACAGACGAAGAGATAAATGGGTTTATTGCGTTTTCCAGAAGGATGATGTCTGGACTCACTTCTTGCACAATTATTTAAACCTCTTGCTAAATGGTTTGGGGTGGTATATTTTTCTCCTGCATTTTGAAATGTGTAAAACTTTCATCCCTTACGCATTTCACTGATTGACATTTATACCCTTTTATTCTTAAATGTATTGTTTATTTTTCAAATTATATATGGTATAAGTTATGAACGAAGAAAATGTGCTATAATCAGTATAAGCCAAAATAACTGAGTTTAAACATTGAAACAAATCGAACATATGTTATTAAAAAGACTAGTAAGAAAAAAGTATTTTGTACTAATTGCAATGCCCCATGCGAGTCTATGGCAATAGTTACGCACGAAGATTTTACGACACATATTCAGTATCATGATGTCTAAATTCAGGGAAAAATCTCGTACGAAGCCACTGTTGGATATGCTGAATGCTGTAGTATTTGTGTAAAGTTTGACGTAATCTGGATGTTGCGATTTTAAAACAACATATTTTGCGGTGTTGCCAGTTGTTTTACTATTATTGCTAAACCGGCGGGAAAACGTCAATTATTCAGTTGATCGTTAAGACATTTAACTTTGGATGGCAGCAAGCAATTTTAAAATTCGTGTCAGTTTGAAATTATAGCACATTTTGATTTATATAGAGAATATAGGTAAACAATGTACTGTGTGTTGAATATTACATTGATTGTAATTGCTTTTTGTAAAAAATTTGAATTTTTTTTTTCCACAAAACGCTTAAGATAAATAAAGCTTGCAATCTATCTATAAAATGAATGTCATTTATACAATATGTATCAAATAACTCGTATTCTCTTGACATGGCTCCAGTTTATTTTGCCACGTAGCTAAAGAAAACGGGACTCTGATCCTACTTGCAGCTGCTATTGTGGCATTATATAACAGTATAATTACAACAATATATTCATTGAGAGAGGATGAAATTATTTTGAACAAAGATATGAACAGGTAGTGATATCGTACACATATCGCCTATACTTCAAACGGCGTCTAAATAAGATTCGACGCCATCGACATTATAAAGCTAGCCACGTAGAGTCTCAGGTAAAGCATAAATAGCATATCTGTGTTTTATGTAGTTTTTCAATGACTTGTTGTTTTTTTGTAATATTTTGTAAGAATATGCTGAACATATTTCTGATTATGATTTTGTAACCGATAGCTTTGTATACAATATGTTGAACTACATAAATTGTACAGCAAAATCTACGTCAATACTGGAGATATCAAAGTTAAAAGGTGCAGTTTCTCAATCGTTATCAGTTTAATGAGGAGATTTTTTTGCGAAGTACGCCCCTCAATATTTCCTCGACAAGACTATTTAAGATAACAATACGGTAGTATTTCTATGGAAACTGTTTCGATTTTCTGTCAACTTAAAAATATCTTAACTGTCCAAATTAATAAATGAAACGAGACTTACCTGGAATTTGAAGTTCAATTATTATTCTACTGCTACTGGACCACAGGGTTTAATGAGATTAACATATGATCTTATCAGATGACCAAGCAGACTTTCAGAGCATACATAATTATGTTAAATGCGAAAATGGCTTATTCATATGGGAAAAGTAACCCGGTGGGCGTTAAACCATGTGGTCCAGTAGCAGTAGAATAATTATTGGACTTAACTTCCAGGTAAGTCTCGTTTAATTTATTTATTCTACTGCACTGGACCACCTAGGGTAAAGGAGATTTTAGGAACAATGCTCACATTTGATAAGCCGTTAAAACTTCATAACCATGTGCAATGATTACGCATTCAATCTACGACTATTACCTTTTCAACACTGCAAATGTAATGTACAAAATACATTTTAAAGTCCCTTGAGGACACAATATTTATTTCGGAAATCATAGATTGAGCCTAGAAAAAGGCTAATAATTAACATACCCAGAAGACTAACGGTAAAACATATATTGCTTTGAAAATAAAACGATATTTCAACTGTCCATATTATTGATTCATATAAAGATTTGAGCAATAAAAGCTACATGCAGCATTTTCATTTTAAAACTGAAAGGAAATTAAAGTGTTTAACCTTTTATTTTGTCATTATATAAACAAGTCCTTCAGACACCTAAAATGTACAGGGACAAAATGTAAGTAAATTTAGTTTCTAATAATTTCAAAAGCCTTTCATTGATATATATCAATAAAATCTTTACCATAAAAACGTGACCTTAAACTTGAATGTGTTTTTCAAAAGCGGTAAATCGATTTTTGTAAATGGGCCAAAAATGCACATTTTATCCTAATATTTGCTTGATTAAGAGAAATAAGATACTTTGTACTGAAACTTTATAAAGTTAAATATGATATTGCGTAGAAAACAACAATAAATAAATGCATTTATTTATTTATTTACTTATTTATTTATTAATTATTTATTTATTTATACAGGACACACTCATTGTTAGGCTGTGAGTCATATTGTCTAATCCCATGTTTATGGTCTCATATTTATCCTCTTTGTTTGTTCATCATCTCTTGTTTGTTAAATTCTTGTTTATCATCTTTTGTTTATCGTCTCTTGTTATTCCCTGCTTTATCCTGTAAAAATGCACACTGATTTGAATTTACATGACCTCACATGCAAATGTTAAGTACAATGTTTAACAAATAGTACGGGGAATACGAATTTTTTCTTTTAAATAGAGAAATATTTATTTACGAAACTTATGATTAACTTTATACAGTTATATTTTTTCTACTTGTTATTTCTCTATTTTCCATGCACAAATATAATTTGCCAACAAAATAATCAAAAGTGCGTGTATACAGAGCTTTTGCATTGTCTTTAGAATTAGTGTGATCAAACAGGAGAACTAGAGCAAACAAAGAATCTTACTAACGTTATAATACACAATTTCTGCAGGTACGTGTAGAGGACTATGAGATGAATTGAATGGTATAACTTTTTAATGTAGTCAAACCGCGATAATGTTTAAATCAGATTTATTTTTCAACTTTATACTGTACTTCAGTCGGACGCATGCGTGCTACGTATCTAACTACTTGTAAAGACCTGACGCTATACTTTTGTCGAATGACAAATGTATATACAATATTGAAGGTTTCTTTTAAAGATTTAACAGTTACTGTTAGGATATTTAGCAATGAGAAATATATATTAAACTATATGATATAACATCTTATATATAATATTTAGCTATAAACAATGTCGACAAAGGAAAAGTGAAGTATTAATTCAGATATGTAGATATTCTTATTTATTTCAATAAACTTCCCCGTTTGAAAAACAAAGTATGCATACTTTAACGGGGGAGTATATATTGAAATTTTCCTGGTGGCTCAATTTAACTATATACGTTTGATATGACAGTGATAGCGCAAGTGTGACTAAAAAGTCGCTTCTACCTCCTTAGGAAATGTTCTATGCATTTGAGGGATAACTGATTCATTTGTGAAAATTTTGATCAATTTCACGTTGAAAATTATGAAAATGAAATTTCACATTTTTTTCAATGAAGCGGCTACTTTCTAAGAAATCTTTACAATGTGGAATCTCAATTTTATTTGCGTACAATTCCTACATTATCAAGACTGTGTAGAGCAAAAACAAAGCTGAAATTGTTTAATAACTTTCAAAAAAAAAGTATAACATACTTTAAATTCATTCAATATACCAATCGTCAAATATCGCCTCTATTTCTTCTTTTATTTCATTTAAACAGTCTGAAAAATGCACATCCTTCCATATGCAAAACTGCTCTTGACTACCATAAGCGTTTGGCACATTTGGCTTACCAATATTGGTCAAATTATCACAAAATAATATCCCCTTGATCATCAAGAACAAAAATAACTATATAGCACCCTTTATCTATGTATGATATGTCATTTAGAAAAGATATGCATCGCCGAAACATTCTGTAAATGGTGTGATTTATTCGAAACATATTTACAAGCAATGTCGTGTATGCCTTTTAACTGTGTACTCAATTTGACACAATAATATATTGATAGTTCTGTGGTCTATCATTCCCTATTAGCGGATTAGGTTTAAGTATAACTATAGTAACTCCTTTATCTTTATTTAATCGGTCATGTACAAAAATGGCAGTTGAACGAATAAAATATTATAGAATCTGGCCATCAAAAACACTTCAATAGTGAGACTTTAATTAAAATAAAAATAAATTTAGCCTTAAACAAACAAACAAAAGATAGTAAAACTATACTAATTATTAATAATTTCCATTGGAAATAATGTTTTCATGTAGAAGGGCATCGAAACAATAGGCTTTCTAAATTGTACGAGGGGGTGTAAAAATAACAAAACATGTTAACACACAACCAGTGGGAAAGAAGAAATCAATAAAATATAACATCGGGATTTACATGTAAATCAAGATACCTTGTAGTATTTTCAAATTGATAAATTTTATTTGTTTCGTCTGTCTTTTTATTTATCAGGGTACAATTTAACAATACTTAACCTGATTGATAATTATTTTCATTTCATACTGCACTTGAGTCACGTCCAAATCACGAAATCAACTAGGCGTGGAGGCATTTTAAACACAACTTCTGATATAATGTTCATTAGTAATGGCGACAAACGATATAAGCAGTATTGATTCGGGTATGTTAAGATTTTCATTTTCTTCTTAATCTTTTAGGAATGCAATAATGACATATACATTTACCTTAATAAAGGATCATCATAAAAACCGAATTATGTCTTTATGCGTTTGAAACAAAATAAAAAAAAGATGAGGAAGAAAAAGATTAACTTTTGTTATCTGATATTCAGAGTTGGTAGTGTTACTAAATATACTAGTAGCGAGTGTATTGTATTTCATAACTTAGCAATCTGAATAAAATCAGCTCTAAATAACATTCCGCTTTTAGATCTAACCATGGCCAAATACGAAATCATTTCTGTTTACCTTTCGCACTGCCAATCGAGCTTTTATAATTTTGAAAGCGATGTGGTTTCTATTTTTTATCCCGGGAAAACCAATACTGAGAGGGTAATTTTAACGATTTTGAAAACAGACATGGCTTTGTCCATATGGCCGACAGGTAAACTGACAAAACAATCTTGCCCATTAAAAATTGACTCCATTATTTCAAGTTAATTTGTAAAAGAATACGTCAA